CCTGCAATACTTTTTGGTGCCGAATGTTGGCCATTAAAAGAGAAGCATAATACTAAGTTAAGTGTTACAGAGATGAGGATGCTTAGGTGGATGAGTAGCTTTAGCCTTAGAGATAGGATACGAAATGAGCATATACGTGAAAAGTTTGGAGTAGCTCCAGTGGAAGATAATATTAGAGAGAGTCGCCTTAGATGGTTTGGTCACATTAAACAGAGGCCTTTCAATGACCTGGTTAGGAAAGTTGAGGTATTAGATTTGACTTATGTTATGAAAGGTAGAGGTAGACCAAAAAAATTTTGGTTAGAAAATACTAGAAATGATCTTTCTTTATTAGATTTAAATGAGAATTTGACTTTTAATAGGACACATTGGGGAAAAAGGATTCATGTAGCCGACCCGACGTAGTGGGAGAAATGCTTGATGTTGTTGTTGTTGTTGTTTCATTTCTAAAATAATAAAAACTAAACATAAATAGGTATAAAAGTAACTATCTAGGAATTAAAATATATGAAAACTAAGATTTAATTATCAAATAAAAAATTAGCTCACATTAAAAAATGGAATTTATTATTTATAGATTGATGGATCATCACAGGTAAAAAGGTACTATCAACGACTTATTGGATTGTTGTAGATGAAAAGTTACTGTCCATTGATGATTATCGGGTTGGTGTAAATGGAAATCCATTGTCCATGGATTCATGATTGTTTCAATAAGTAGTCTGTTGATTCCCCTTAAGCACTCTGACACCAATATGAGCAGGGAATTTGATTTTCAAGTGGGGTTAGAGGTGTCAATAAACAATTTGATCCAACAACTTAAACTTGACCTGAAAAAATTGGATTCGGATTGACCTGTTTAATAAATGAGGCTCATTTAATACTTTTTTATTAAAATATTTTTTGTTTGTTGGCACGATTTTCTTATTTTTATTAAATTAACCTTAACTATATAGTTGATATGTTATTAATTTTTTAAATTATAACGAATTATCAAGTTAGGTTCGAGTCATTTAGGTTGTCAACGGGTTTAGTTTGGGTCCATCTTTTGACCAATTTATTAAAGTGGTCGGGTTTAGGTTGATTAGATTTTGGTTGGGTAAATTTGAGGTTGAACTTGAACCCAACCCGTTAATCTGTTTTAACATTTGTATGTGAGGCATAGTTGCAATTGCTATAGATATAAATTAAAGCGGTCTCTCAAATGTCAAATTATATTATGACTCATATTTGACAACCGTGAATTGCATTTGGTGTCTCGTTGAAAGGGGTGAAAATGAGTTGAGCTTCATCGAGTTTGTCATTTGTTCGTGTTCAACTCATTTGAATTTTTTTTTTTTATATTGTCTGATGTTGGAGATTGTTCATGAGTATCATATTTATGTTTGTTTTATTTTAACATCGATGAGCTAGTTTAGATCAAATTAAAAAAAAAAGTAAAACTATTTTTTTGTAAAGAACTTTCATAATAAAACAAATTTGTAAAAAATTCAGAAATTAATCACTCAAAATTTGTATTTATAATGTGTACTTTAAATTCACACGCACATATATTTATATATAATTTTATACAAATAATTAACGGGCCAAACACGATATAACAAAGGTCTGTTCATGCTTATCTCGTTAAAAAAATTAAGCTTAAAATATTTGTTCATATTCAGTTCGCTTAATGATTAAATTGAGCACGAGTTCTACAATAAGCCATGGCATGGTGTGGTGAGATCTCCCCCATATTTCACATTTTGTGTCAATTATACATATTATTGGCGTTAAATGGTGAGCCTCATGACACATGGCGTGGTGCGGTGTATCGTTGGCTCCATTTGCGAAGCGAGGTGTGGGTTCTTAAAATAGTGCATGCTATTTGCGTTATTCACGAGCAATGACGCATGGTGTATGACCCCTATGGCACACACTAATTGATTTGGCCTTGAAATTAATTTTAATATTATGCATATATTGTTTATTACTTTTATTTATTTTTCAATTTTGTGACAATGCTATGTTGAAATACTTAGCAATTGCTGAAAACACTATTCTCGATTTCAGCTAAGATTAGCAGTTTCTTCTTATGCAGGATTGATCTTGGTTATAAGGGCAAAAGTAAACCAGATTTCCATTTCCTCTTGTTAAATTTTATTACATTAACTAAAAAATTCCTCTTTTTTCTTATACAGATTATTCTAAATAACTTTTTATTACTTCCGTGACAAAAGTTGTTAACACATTTCGTTATACACAAGTTAGGACATGATACTAATATTTCTCAAAAGAAATTAGGATTCATGACGGATAGATCTATTATGGAAGTTATACATTTGTTTAGATGTTTGATGGAGAAGAATAGATAGAATAAGGGGGATTTTCATATGATATTTATTGATTTAAAGAAAACAAATAATAAAGTTCCAATAGAAGTGTTATGGAAAGTTCTAGAAAAAAAAAGAGTTAATAATGGTTTATATTTAAGTCATTAAGGATATGCATACAAGAACTGTTGTTACTTGTGTTCAAATATAAGATTGTATGATCAAGTATTTTCCTATTTCAGTAGGATTACATCAAGGATCAGCTTTAAGCTCACTTTGTTTTTAGTTATGGATGTTATTACTAGACATTTGTAAGAGGATGTACCCTGGTGTATGCTTGTTGCTGATGATATTCTTCTTGTTGACAAAACTAAAGAGGAAGTTGAAGTAAAAGTTGAATTATGAAGGTCGACCTTAGAGTTTAAAGGTTTTTATTTGAGTAGATCTAAAATCGAATATATGGAGTGTAATTTTAGTAGTAATAGATCTAGTGGGGGGATTGTGACTTTGGGCAATCAAGTCATTATAAAGAGTACACGTTTTAGATATATTGAATATATTGTTCAAAGCGATGGTGAAATAAATGGGATAGTATTAGTAGAATTCAAGTTGGATGGTTGAAGTAGAGGAATGCATCGGCCTTGATGTGTGATAGAAAAGTACCCCGCAAATGTAAGGGAAAATTCTATAAGATGGTGGTGAGACCTATAATGCTTTATGGCTTAGAATGTTGGCCATTAAAAGAGAATAAAAAATTTAAGTGTTATAGAGATAATGATGCTTAGGTAGAATAAAAAATGGTTTACACTTAGAGACAAAATGCAAAACAAGTATATGCGTGACAAGGTTGGAGTTGCTCTAGTGGCATATATGATTAGAGAGAGTCGCCTTAGATGGTTTGGTCATATAAAACATCGGCCTTTCGGGTAGGAGGGTAGATATATTAGACTTGGCCTATGTTAATGATGCAAGCAAAAATTTGGGTCCCTAAATTTGGGAAGGGACCCAAATTTTTGCAAGCAAATGAAACTCTTCTTATAAATGAGCTTTGGTGGTGTTTGTTGGCTGATTTGGGAGCATTTGCTGGAGGAGTTTGAATTGGTCGGTTGGACAATCTTGCTGTGGTGGACCATCAGTTTGCTAGCCCTAAGCACTTATCTTACTTTAACCTACATTTCGATGCATGTGAGGAACCCGCTCTGACGGTTGTCTGAGGATAGCGTTTTTTTTTTTTTATTTTCTTTGTTTCTTTTGACTTATCTTCTAGTTTTTTCGTCGGATTTTTGGATGTTATAGATGATTGCTACTATTTGAATCTAGTTTGGTTAAGTTCTTCCCATTGTTCTCCTTGTTTTGGCTTTTTCTAACTAGTGTGCTTACATCAGTTAATAAAGATAGATGTAGATCTAAGAAGACTTATTTAGAAAGTATTAGAAATAACATTTTTTATTAGATTTAAATGAGAATTTGACTCTTAATATGACACAATGAAGAAAAAAGATTCATGTAGCTGACCCCACATGGTGGGATGTAGGCTTGATAATGTTGTTATTGTAGTAGCAACCCTATAGTGTCTTTAATTTTTTAAAGAAATCTTTAATCACTTAAGAATTATCATAATTGTTTATCTTTCAAGTTTCAACCTAGTAATCTTTTATATATCTTTAATAATTTTTAATATTTTTATTTAGCCTATTAGTATTTCCTTGAGAAGACACTCTGACACTCAAGTTAATAAGCGTGTTGAAGAAAAGAATGGTCTAGCAAAGCCTTCTCCAAAGGATAAAGAAGTTTTAGAATGCCCTATGCCCTTTTCCTCCCTCGTGTTTTTATGGTTAGGTAAGTAGAGAGCACTTTATTTCTTTGGTGATGCAAATGATGAGTGGTGGAGCCTCTTTATTTTAGAGATCTTTGTTGGATAACAATGCTTTTGATTGAGAGGTATTTCTTCCCTTCAGTCTATTGGAAGGTTGGGAATTAAAACACTTCGTCTTTAGGATGGGAATCTAACCCTCGTACCATGGGGTAATGGATGGATCATGTTGTTGGAGATTTGAATAGGTTTTTTTTATATATATCTTTGAGATTGGTGTTTGAGATGAGTTATGAGTTGAGGCATTAGATTCCTGTTGAGGATTCAAGATTAATGCTGAATTTTTGTAAGGTCATTGGATTCTAATGTGATATGATGTTGCAGATCCTGAAGGTTCATTTTTTTCCCATCATTACATTGAGATTGCGGAAACCAAATAATATTTTGGGTAACTATAATCTTTTAGCTCTACTTATTACTGTTTCTTACTTTTTGGGGATTTCATCTTATCTTATCTCATTGGAATGATATCTCAGTTCTACTTGAGATGACCTCTTTTTAATCATCATAAATCCAAAATTATTTAGTCAGGCTTTCTTTTTGAGAAAATACACGTTTTACATTAAATGTTTTTAATCTTTATTGTTTATTTATGCCCTTATGATTCAACAGTTAAAGTAAGATTGCTCCATAAAATCCTTGGTGTAAAAGATTTTGTTTGGCTATCTATTTTTACTTTACTTTTTTGTTTAGCTCTATTTTTTTATAGTTTCAAAGCTCCTTAAGCTTTTCATTTGCCAGAAAGTTTAATGTTGTTGTGGGTGTTCCTTAGTTTGCACAAAGAGTAATTTAATTTTGACTTCCATGCTTCATAGGTTGGACAGGATATTTTATTGTCAAAATAAATGATGGCCAAAGTCGCCGAATTAGATGTATGACTCCGAGGTGTAATGCAGTTTGTGATGAAGCTGTTGTAAGGAGTCTAGTTAATGCAAGGCATCCGGATATCGCAGATCGGTTTGAGAGATTTTTACTTGAATCGTACATTGAAGATAATAATAAAGTTAAGTGGTGCCCCAGTGTGCCCCATTGTGGAAATGCGATACGTGTGCTGGGTGATATTTACTGTGAGGTTGAGTGTACATGTGGAATGCAATTCTGTTTCAACTGCTTATCAGAAGCTCATTCACCATGTTCTTGTATAATGTGGGAGCAGTGGACAAAGAAGTGCCATGATGAATCAGAAACTGTGAATTGGATCACAGTTAACACAAAACCTTGCCCTAAATGCCACAAACTCGTTGAGAAGAATGGTGGCTGCAACCTAGTTGCTTGTATTTGTGGGCAAGCATTTTGGTAAGGATGCCTAAATTAATCATTTATATTCCTGAATTAATTTTCAAGTATTCACATGTATTGCTGATTGGATTATTTTCAAACTTGCCTCTATTTGTGCATGCATGTGTTGACATGTTTTATTCCTCTGTTAGTTTCAACCTCCATAAAGAAATCGCAAGTACCATCCTTTTTTTAGATAAATTTTGGAAGTGATTGTCACTTCCGGATTCTGTTTTACTTTTTGTGAGAAGTGAATATTATGCTTCCTTTCTCCTAGCATCAATACCAGACTAAGTTACCTGTAGTTTGCTGATTGAAATTAGATATTTTTTTTCATGGACCTAGGCTTTAAAGGAAAGATTGAAATTTATAGTTTTGGTTTTAATTGAATTTAAATTTATATTTTTAGGTTTAGATATTGTAGGATTCTGAGAAGGTGTTATTTTTGAGTCTTTTATGATTTTAAAAAGAACTCTTTGGGCATGCAAAATTCATTATATGATTTAATAAAATTCATATATCTTAATAATTATGTGTTACTGGATGTAAATTTTTCGAGCGCAATACAAGTCTTGCTGACAACTGAGTGATGCTTCTTTTGTGCTTGCGTGAGCTCTAGATCTTAAAGTTACTTCTATACTTCTTTTATCTAAATTATTTTTTGATTGGTTTCTGTGTGATTGGGATTTTGTCATTTTTATACATACCAGTTTTCATGTTTTGGTGTTAATTTTTATTGCTACTGTAGTTTATTTATTTGTTTTTTCTTATGGAAGTTCATATTTTGGCGATGTTTATATCATTGCTTGGAACAACTTAATGTTTTTTCTTTGATTCTTTGGCGATCTTTATACATTCTATCCCAGGATTTTATTAGTGAATGAAAGACCTTAAGACTTGCTACATTACCTTGATATTTAGTTTCCATTTTTATTTAGGCTAGCTTTTTACATAACATCCAAATATTCATTTTTGCTAAATTGGCAGCCAACTACTTCAATTTACAATAATATCATCAAAATCATGAAGACATAGGAAAAATTAACACATTTTTCACATTCATTAAATTCTCATTGAGTTGGTTCTAGAATGTGCAAATGCACGGGTGAAGGGGACATCAGAGCATGGAAAGTTTATCAGAGGCATGGTCGCCGATCTACGGCCACGATCACGCCGATCTATTTTTGAGTCCTCATATGTATTTGTTTTATTTATTTGCTTTATGTATTTGTTTTAGTTGTTTTCCCTTTTTTTTACCCCTTAAGGGTTTTTCATGTGTAAGCCCTAAGGACCAAGTCATCTTTTATTTTTCCGTTCATTGTATGAGGCTATTATAGCCCCATTATCGTTTCTTTTGAGATTAATTAATGAATTATAAAAATTTTCTGCATATTGAGTTCTTGTGGGAGCTTGAGAGGTTTTGGAGAGAGATCCCTTGGAGAGGGAAGTGGATTACCCACCAACCTTGGAAGAGTCTGGGTTCGTGGCTAGTTATATATTTTCTTTTTTCCTCTTCCTCCCTCCCTTCCCCCTCCATCCCACGGTTCACCTAGCTCCAAACTGTTGGCTCTCCAAACCTCCCGCTTCCCCATCGTCGGCTTCATTCCACCACCACCACACCGGCGGCCTAACACCACCACACAATCAACCATCCTCCTCACCTACCTACCGGCCCCTCACCCAAGTCCCTAGGCTAACCGCCGGCCCTAGCCCTTCCTCTTGCTTCCTATTCCAAAATCCCCCCTTTAATACTTTTCATATTTCACCCGACCTCAATTGGAAAGCTTTGGGCCCCATTTATTCATTGAAATTTTGAATTTTAAAACTTTCCAAACATAGGAATCTATTTTAGGAAAGTTTTCAAAATTCAGCCCCTTTTGAATTTCAAATTAATTGGGAATTAATTAAGTCCTTTCTAATTTAATAATCCAAATCAAGAAGGCTTGATTTATTTCCCAAAGCTCCTCCCTCTCTTTCTATGCCGCCGGCCTCCTTTGGTCCCCACCTCTTGAGCTACTTTCCAACTTCAAGCCCTCCCTCTCAGGGAAGAATTCAAATCCCCTCTCTCCTACCCGCCCCTACCTCTCACCCCCTTTTCCCTTTTAATTGTTTCCAAATTTATGAATTAAATATGGAAACAAATTCCCAAATTTCCCTCCATCCTACCTCCTAAAATCTCAACCTGTTTCTTCCCAAGCCCCCATCATTGGACGGCCACCTCTCTCCCTCTTCTCCACTTGAATCCTTAAGAGAAATTTCTCTCTCAAGAGGAGTCTTTAAGGGAAGCAATGACTGTCGTCTCCAACACTTCAACCTTACAGAATCGATGTATGGCCGATCCCGATCTTAACTCCGGCTTCGTCTACAATGAGCAAGGAAACGTCGACATCCTTCGGTCAACATTCTTCGACATCAACCCGGAAATAGACAATTCCGTCGAGGAATACCTGGATCATATCATCTTCATCTTGTTTGAAGCAATCGAAGAGAGCTTGCCAATGTTCAGTGGCAAATCACTTCCATCCCGCAACGAGGGTGAACTTGTCCTCCTATTCAATTTCTTTCTTAATCTTCTTCTCTTGTAGGTTTTGATTCAAGCACAATGAGTCGTGCAAAGCCATCTTTCATCACTTAGTAAATGTAGGGTTTGAGTTTGATTTTCTATGCTTTCTAATCTCATTGTTAACCTAGGGATGCTATTGGAAATCTACTAGTTTGTATATATTGAAATTTTAATTGTTTTAGTGATCTTAGTTTTTAGCATATGATTTGGCCTAAGTCAAGCAAACTCGCTTTTGTTTTCTATTATTGTTTAGTGGCTAACGTTTGTAGTTCTTCATTGCTCTTATTAAAAAACGTGCAAGTTCTTATCGCATTCATTTAATTCATACATAGTCCTGCATCAACGGGTTTAGTATATTTTATAAATTTGATTGAAAGTTTTGTAAATAAATATGTTAGTGTTATATGCATAAATGTTTTTATACTAAATATAATTTTGTAATTTAAAATTTTAACTTTGGAAAGTACATGATTTTTTCCCTTTATTTTTGCAATTGCAAGATCATAGGTAATATGAAAGTAATTATAGCTTTTTCATGACATTTTTTTACTTATTTCGTACACACCAGGAATTCTCTCATATCTTACATGTAGAAATGTTAAGAAAAACTACTTTAAATTTTATTGTTTGATTATGCACAAAATATGAAAATATATTTATAAATTTTCAAAAGTCTTACACTTAAAATAAATCAAAGCTCTTTACTAAACAAGAAACAAGTTCTTAAGAGGGGTCGATGGCTAGAAGAGGAATAGTAGGCATACATATTATAATTTAAGAGCCATAAGAGGATTAATTCAATTATTAAAATCCGTTTATGTACTCAATGATTCATACCTAGATTAGTTGACTTGTGAGTCTCATTATCATTAAAATCATGAAAAACACTAGAAAAATCTAACACATTTTTTTCACGTTCATTAAACTCTCATTGATTTGGTTCTAAAATGTGCAAATGCATGAGTTTAATATATTTTAAAATTTTAATTGATAGTTTTGTAAATAAATATGTTAGTGTTATATGCATAAATGTCTTTTATACTAAATATAATTTTGTAATTTAAAATTTTTAACTTTTGAAACTACATTGTTTTTTTCTATGTTTTTGCAATTGCAAGATCATAGGTAATATGAAAGTAATTGTAGCTTTTTCATGACGTTTTTTTGCTTATTCCTTACACACAAGGAATTCTCTTATATCCTACATGTAGAAAGGTTAAAAAAAAACCACTTTAAGTTTTATTGCTTTATATTGTACAAAGTATTAAAATATATTTAGAAAATTTCAAAAGTCTTAGACTGAAAATAAATCAAAGCTATTTACTAAACTAGAAAAAAAGTTCTTAAGAGGGGTCGATGACTAGGAGAGGAAGAATATGTATACATATTATAAGTTAAGAGCCGTAAGAGGATCAATTCAATTATTAAAACCCGCATATGTGCTCAATGATTCATACCAATATTAGTTGACTTGTGACTCTCATGATAATTGATTTGTGCAAATGCACGGGTTTAGTATATTTTATAAATTTGATTGATAGTTTTGTAAATAAATATGATAGTGTTATATGCATAAATGTCTTTTATACTAAATATAATTTTGTAATTTAAAATTTTAACTTTTGAAAGTACAATGTTTTTTCCTTTATTTTTCCAAGTACAAGATCATAGGTAATATGAAAGTAATTATAGCTTTTTCATGACATTTTTTTGCTTATTTCATACACCCCAAGAATTCTCTCATATCATACATGTAGAAATGTTAAAAAAAATCACTTTAAATTTTATTGTTTGATTATGTACATAGTATGAAACTATAATTAGAAATTTTCATATTTCTTACATTAAAAATAAATCAAAGCTATTTATTAAACAAGAAACAAGTTCTTAAGTGGGGTTGATGGCTAGAAGAGGAAGAGTAGGCATACAAATTATAATTTAAGAGCCATAAAAGGTTCAATTCAATTATTAAAACCCGTCTATGTGCTCAATGGCTCATACCAATATTAGTTGACTTGTGAGTCTCATGATCAACTAAATCATGAAAAACACAAGAAAAATCTAACACATATTTTTCACATTCATTAAATTCTCTTTGATTTAGTTCTAGAATGTGCAAATGCATGGGTTTAGTATATTCTAAATTTTGATTGATAGTTTTGTAGATAAATATGTTAGTGTTATATGCATAAATGACTGTTATACTAAATATAATTTTGTAATTTGAAATTTAAAATTTTGAAAGTGCATTGTTTTTCCTTTATTTTTTCAATTGCAAGATCATAGGTAATATGAAAGTAATTATAGCTTTTTCATGGCTTTTTTTTTTGCTTGCTTCGTACACACCAGGAATTCTCTCATATCCTACATGTAGAAAAGTTAAAAAAACCTCTTTAAATTTTATTACTTTATTATGTACAAAGTATGAAAATATATTTAGAAATTTTCAAAAGTC